CAAACCAAAGCGGAAATTATAGCAGAGCTGTTAAGCTTTTCCAAATATAGCTTTAAATGAATGAATGGTTTATGTGCAATATGTTTTGTTGGAACTGATGAGCGAAATGTTATGTCGGAGGACGAAATGCGCACAAGCAGTAAAATAAGATGATATCTATTAAGAAGTCATCAAAATAGCCCTTGAAAAGGGTTATGCTGCCGTGGTGTGGTGAATGTGATGTGGCCATACTGTGTTATTAGACATCATCCCTCCTTATTAATGTTATGAAAAGAGTAAAGAATGGAATGAACAGAAAAGTGTCATTCGAGCACCTCTGAGCGTCGATGCAGTGGTTTTCAGAATGTCGTGCGTTTCTTATATAGCATGGATTTGATACGGTTTAGAATTTATTCCTTTTCTTAATGACAAATGGATTTTAGTTTACATGCCCTGCATCTTCGCGAACATTATGATCATCTAGTCTTCAACTTTTAAAGTATCATTTTTATATATTTCTGATTGCGTATTTTTATTGAATTTGATTTTTGCACATCCTAGGAGACATGCTAAACGCACTCCTCAATGTTATTTGTTTCTGTTTTGTAAAATTTTATTTGAGTATGTTACTTAGGCACGTGTGCCCTCTGTAAAATACGGCGCAACTATGCAATATTAGATATAACTTTCATCAGTTTCTTTGTTGCTTCCTACGACAGAAACTTTTGTCGCTTAGATTTGAGTGTCCAAGAGTTTATATTTGTAGTATACAGTATTTCTTGTTCTTTGTGCGTTTTAAATATCAGTCATTTTACCAATTAAAATAAATTATTAAAGTGGTTAATACCATTTTGTACATATGCGGTATATTTTGACATTGGCTAATGAAGTAAATATAGATCATATTGTATATGAATGTATTTCTTGAATACTATGAGAAAGAGTTGCTGGGGGCTGCGATTGTGAACTGGGTGCAGAAAAGGCGGTGTTCTCAGCGGAATCTGTCCGCGTGTTTGGCCCTTCCGGGACCTTGAGAAACGAAAGCACTCGATTGAGACTTCATTGTGTTGATATGAAACAAAGGGACGCGGAATACAGATGAACACATTCCGTAACATGGAATCCGAACCGTCCCAAAAGCCGCATCCCTGATAATAAAGATTTCAAAACGTCTAGTTCTGTTCCAGAGTCATTGTGTTCAGTCCCTTCCGTCTCGCAAACGTGGCTCCCGGCACGAAAAGCATTTCTCATTTGTGATTGTGTCGAGTATTGAGGAATTATTCTGATTAAAATGAGTGTCTTGAAGGTCTTTGGCCCGAAAGCGTCTCACCTCGTCTGGTCGTCCTGTATGTGTATATTTTGTACCATAAATATATGCATATAACATAGAATGTGTGACGTGAACGCTTTTCCTGAGAATATAAGATATATATTTATACCCGCGAATGAAATATTTTGTACTTTCTTTTCAGGTTTTCTTTTTGAGACTTGCAAAAAAAATTAAAATTGACCTCCATTTTGAGCAATTGAGACTTAGTCGTTGCTGTACGTATACGTTACACATACCTCATTGCCGTATCGCGTGCGATACCGTGTTTCAATAAAATACGTAATTACACTTTATAAAATAGATTTGTAATTTGAAACCAAGATTATGTAGCCTAGGCCTAATTTTCACTCTTACGCCGTAGCTGGTCTGTCGAAAAAATGAAGATTACCGACCTTTCGAAAAGCTACTTAGTTTTAATGTACCCCTAGAGTTTTCATTTGAAAGGTATGAAATTTTTCACTCTTTTGAAAGATTAGCTATGTTTAGTTGGCAGTGCTTGTTTATGAACTGTTCTTAGTCTCGTAATTTTGCTCATTGTTTACTGTTAGGCAGATTCATTTAACGGTCCTGAAAATGAATGTGCAATTTAAACGCAATGTTTACTTAAAGTTTGGCTGTGTCTGTTGTTTGTTTTACTTTCATCTTTTGTTTGTAGCCTTAGCTATAGGATAGCTATGGACTGTAGGTTTAATTTCATTGATAACAAGTTATTTAATTGTATTTGTAAAATTCAATGTATAAAGTACCGTACTATAGGCCACCCAGTGTTGATTGACATAAAGAAGTGTGAAAAGATGGTGTGCAACTCGCATTTCATTTGTATACGATAACTTGGATAGTACAAGTTAATTTATAAGAGAAAAATAAAAGAATTGCCGCAAGAACAAACTGATTATGAATTTACAAAATCCACATGTCCTTAAGAACAAACAAAGTAGAAGAAATGAGAAAAAAAAGGAACAAAACTGGACGAAATTTGTCGACAAACGCAATGAAAGATTTTTCCTACGCTTATATGATGGCCAGATTTGCAGCCACTGAGTGGTAACCCATTTTCTCTCTCCAGGGGTTCCTCCCCTCCCCCAGTCACCTGTCTGGAGATGATGAATCGCTGTTCCAGCACCCAACCCTTCACTAACTCCTAACTCTCGGACTGGACATATGGACTGAACTGGGACGAGTTCGATATTCAGAATCACCAATCTCTTACTGACAGTCCCGCCTGCTCCAAAATATCTTGAGAGAAAGCAATTTGGATCAAACACGCCATGGCTTGGCGTGACGCACGGTAGTCAAAGCAGACTGCATGCAGAGCGATCAACAGCATCGTTCTCTTCACAAGGAGAATAAGTCTGCTTCGTTTTATCTGAAACTAAACTATCTAGAAACGTTCCCAGCAAAAACCATCCCAAGCAAAAATCCAATTACAAAATATATTTTAAAGCTTTTTTTTTTTTTTTTTTTGATAAACTAAAGAAAAATGAATTTCCCTCCAAAACTGCTCTTGTGTTTCGGGTTGACAGTACTCCGAGGGTACTCCACGTGTACCTCACATATTCCGAGTGTACTCCGCGTCAACTGCCCAAAAAGATCGAGTCATCGGCCCCTCTTAGTAATTACTCGCCCGATATAGTTAAATCAGACCTCGGTTGGTTGTTCTACGCTGAGGAAATGAAGGGTTGAAAATAAAAGTGCAGTCTTGCACGAAATTCAAATCGCTTATAAGCAGGGGGTGCAAACGGAGCCCTCCGTTTTGGGGAAAGGGAGGGAGGCAGGGGAAAGAAGACGATAGAGAACAGGGAAGAGAAAGAGAGGGAGAGAGGGAGACACACACAGACGGAGGGGGGGGGGGGGAGTGCGTAGGGGCTTCCCTCCGCATCTGTCGCGCCGATGCCTCCACCCCGCGAGCCCCGTCCCTTTGGCACCCTCACAAAAAGCAACACTCTCGAATGAGGTTTGGACGGGACAACAATTACACCGACAACAACTATAAAGAGCGGCCATGATTGGAAGAGGCGAGGCCATAGCGGCGGCCGCGCGCCCGCGCGCCTCCCGGGGACAGGTCACGGCGACAGAAGCACAAACCGCTGCAGCATAAAACAGAGTACGCATCGGCGGGCGCAAAATGATTGCTCAAGCCAACTCTTCCTTTTGGGTGTCTGTCGTGTGGGCCGTGCTCTCGCCGTGCTGCCGTCTCGACAACATTATTTACTTTATCGCACGCCTAATGGACGCAAATAAGAAGTCGGAAGTGCTCTCGCCCCGATGTGTGTCCGCCCGGTGGCGGAGATAACCACAATGCCCAAAAAGCAGACAATTGCCGCCGCGGGCGCGATCCCCGCCCTGACCGGTCCATCGCGCACGGCAAGAACAGGGCCGCGCGGCGTCGGGCGGCGCGCGCGTAGGGGGGCCGCGGCCCCGCCCGCCTGGCCCCGCCCGCCCGGCCCCGCCCGACCCGGCCAGAGCGGTCAGATCGTCGAGATTATGACCACGGCTCCCGGTGACGGCGAACCAGCCGTTTGGAACGCACTCCCGGCCGTTTACGATGCTATAAAGTGGCGGCCGCGGCGTTTACGGGACGCCTTTACGAGTTGAACCCGTGTGTTACGTGAGCCGGAATGGCCTGCTAATGTGTCTCGTGTCAATGCTCGGCCAATCAGATGATCAATCAATTAATTTGGCCGGGGATGATTTATTTCCCCGTGAAGGCGGCTGCCCCCTTTTTGGTCGCGGGGGCTGAAAAGTTTCCAGTCACTTGCGCTCGGGCGCGTGCTGGCTCTCAATCGAATCGGCAAGGGCTCGCTGACGGTAAGATCCCTCTACCACCCTCCGCCACCCTTCACCTTGTCACACCTTCTGCGACACGATTGGTGCAGCGCTGTTAGCACGGAGGGAAACGGTATTTTGGCTGTACTTCTGTTTTTTGTTTTTTTACTAATTTATTTTTTGACTTTCCTTTCCTTGTGGGCTTTCTGGAAACTCCAGTCTTTTCAAGCATCATTGCTGTCAAAATATAAACAATCTTTGATAGACTGTCTAAAAAATACAACAAATATGCACTACAGTAATGCCCCTCTCGAAGCTGGCAAATCGGGACCGGATTTCAGCTTCGAGAGGACGACCCGAAAGTTAGCCACATGTTGCGAACCTATTGTATTGGCGTGGACTCGGGCATCAGGCGGTTGTAAATGCTTTGTCGCCCGAGCTCGCGCGAGCTCGCCAGGTTGTAAACCCCCATCCTTAAGCAGGGTCCGTCTCAAAATTTCAGCTTCGAGCGAGCCAGCTTCGAGAGGGACATTACTGTACTCAGCGTTCTTGGTTTCTTTCTTTGCATCTTTCTGCTCGACTTTTCCATCCGAATCAACATTGACTGTCCTCTATAGCGACGTTTCGCACGCAACAGATATCTATGTTGATAGCCCCTTCTAATTATTGTAGGACAGGACGACCCAGCAGGTGCGCCTGGATCCACCCCTGGTCTAACATTTTCCGCGGCGCGAGGTTGAGGCAGGCGGCGACACTCGGATAATAGCAGCGACCGCCGCCGCATTCCGCGGGAGGCTGCGACAGTCGAGGGCCGCGCCCCATCCGCTCGAAAAGAAAATAAAGGCAGCTAAAGAAACGAACCCGAGAAAAAAAGTAAAGGCACGTTGCGTGGCTGTGGTGGTGGTGGGGGGCAGCAGCGAGGGGGATGGATGTGGGTGGAGGAGTCGTCGATACCCGGGAGCAGCAGCGGGGGCGTGCGGGCGGGTGGCCCGGGCGGGGGCGGGCAGGAGTGCACGCCTGCAGCGCACCCCGCCCTGCCGCCTCGCCTACCCCTCCCTCGGGCCGCGGCGGAGCCTCACTCTGCGTCGGGACTCTGTCGGGGGCTGAGCCCGCGCGCCCGCGCGCCGCCCAACCAGGCCGTGGCGTGCCAGGGCCGCCGGGGGCCCGGCCGCCGCCCGGACTCCAAGAGGTCACCGCCGAGCCCGGCCGAGCCGTGCCGAGCAGCGCCGAGCCCGCGCCAGCCCAGCCCGAGGTGAGTCGCATGCAGCGTGTATTCCTCCGCAGCCGCGCGCTTCGCCCGGCCGCCGCCAGGCCGCGCCACCGCCAGCGACGCGAGCGATGGTGGCGCCATCTAGCGGGAGACGGCTGAACTCGCTGGACGCGGGCGCTGCCAACCCGCGGCGGCAGAGTCGTAAACTACCATCAGGCCGACGGCAAGCGGCGGTTACGGCAGTTGCCGAAAGAGCGCGCCACGATCGCCCCGCTCCACCAAATAGACATATAAAGGACGTTGAAGGGATTTAGGTAATGGCGTCGGCTGGCGGCGGTGCGGGAGGAGGAGGGGGAGGGTCTTTTTACGGTTTGTTTTGACGGCGTGCGCGCTCTCTCGCTCCCACGTTGACCCAGTGAAGCGGAGCCAGTGCAAGTGCGCGCCTCGCTACCGGAGGACACGACACTGGAGGCGGAGGTGAGTGGGGTCGCGCTGTTCTCGTTGATGAGTAGGCTGTTAACTTTTAGGTGATTCGATGGTTCATTGATCGATTGATTGGTTTATTGGTTTATAACTGAATATCTTGGTGTATGTTTTTTGAGCGTTCGTTCGGATGAGTCTTCTGTAGCAATATTATTGAAGCTATCGTGATTGAAACATGATTTAAAATTAACACTGGTTAGGATTAATTTAAAACAAAAAATAGTCGCATCACTTTCATTTTAAAATTACCATTACGATGACAAGGGTGCAGTAAAATGTTGAACAAGGCAATTTGGCAAGCGAATTACGTAGGTGTAAATCGGGCTAGGTCAGAGATAATGAGCCGTGGCCTCGAAATTGTCACATGTCGTGTAGGCTTCCAGAGTGCTGATTGATTTAGCCGAAGGGGCCCTGAGTAAATCAGGTACCTCTATGATTTCCCAATTTTCTCGCGGGCCGCTTCCATGCGTCGTCCAACTGTTGCTGCGGCAGTTGACCGTCCCGCCCGCCGGCGCGCGTCGTCCCCCACCGAGACAGTGGAGGGGGCAGGGCACGCGCCGTGCGGGCAGGGGCCGTGCAGGGGCCGCAGACCACCAACTCTCAGTAGCTTCATAAAACTTAAGTGTATGGCCATTTCACGTCACCCCTTCCCCCTTGCCGGCGCGTACTCTGCCCTCCCCCCCCCCCCTTCGCTCCCTTCTCAAGGCCGTTGGGCCACGTGGTGCTGCCGCCGCCGCTCCGCAACCACCCATTCATGCTCGTCTCCTCGCTCCCTCCACCTCAACCGCCTCTTACCATCCTGTTCAATCCGATCTACGTCGTGAGGACGAATTGGTAACATATATACGCACATAGTAGACCTACTTAAAAGTTCAAGCTCTCAAGTTCTTTTGTCTATGCTAATCGTAAATATCGTAAAAAAATAATCGTAAAAAATCGTAAATAGAAATTACTCCTTTCCAAAGGTTTGACTGTAGTGAACGATAGTGTAATATAAATACGTCGCCAGTTTTTTTTTTTTTTTTTTTTTTTTTTTTTTGATAAACTAAAGAAAAATTTGTTAAGAGGACATTTCTTTTCTTTTTTGAGACTTACGACGAATGCTGAGGTTGATTGGGGTACCCACTCTAACAGAAAAGGGGACAGTTGAATGGTGAAGCGGAAGAGGGGGATAAGTCCATGGTTATGACGCCAGATTTATCCCCTTCTTCTGCTTCACCATTCAGTTTCAGGCGTGATAAAGCAAATTCACGTTGAAGGCAGTTTCGAACCGTCCCGCGCTCGTGAGTGTGTGTGCTAGGTGCCCCGAGGAGGTTGAGCGCTCCGGCGATAGATGTCGCTGCGTGTAACGACTTGGCGCGCGCGGCCAGTGCTACCAACTGCAGGGCGTCTCTCCCGCGCGCCGAGCGCCGATGGCTCGGACTGCTCCGCAACGACCGATGGGTGACGGTTCAGAGGCCGCTCTGGCGGCTCAAGCGGCACCGAACTCATCACCCCCAATCGTCCACGTAATTTAAAGTAGAAATATGATTTGTCAAGTGAACGCATGGCACTGTAAGATCAACCTCTTCACTCTGTCAGATTGTAATGACACGAATTTCTAATCAATCACCGTCAAAGGTACCTCCCTACCGCTACGAAGGTGTGACACATGTCGATGTTTTAAGGAGACTTCAATGCAGGGATGGACGATATGCCGTTCAGAGTTCAGGAAGAAGTGTACAGGAACAGGACGCGGCGGTCATTGACCTCGCGCTAAAAGTCGAACGTCCTCCCCGTACAACAACCTCCCCCTCCCTCCCCTCCCCCTGCAGCATGCACCCCTCGCTCCCCAACCCCAGCTTCTGCAGCCAGCTCCCCTCCCCACCCCTACCCGTCCCGGTCCCGGTCCGACCCTCCCCCACCCCTCTGCTGCAAGGGGGAGGGAGCGTCGAGCAGCAGGGGTCGCCGTCGACGACCATCATCGATTCGTTGCCGGTATCGGAGGACGGTCGGACGGTACGCTACGTCCGCGGCCACCTTGTCGTCGGCCAGGTGATGGTACCCGGCCCGCGACCACGCCGAGACGGCCTGAGGAACTCGACCCCCGCGACGTGGACGGGGCGCAGTGCGTCAGCGCGCGCCTGGTCGACGCGGGGGGCGTATCCTTGGCTCGGCGGCCCGCTACGCGTAGCTCCTCGGGGTAACGTCCCCGCTAATGGGCTATAGACCATGAGACGGACGGACGCACCGACAGAGTTACGAGCCCGGCCCCCAGGCAGCGCTGTGGTCGCTCGACACCCGGCCACGCAGTTCGGGCCCCTGCCGATGAAGGGCAGCACCTGTCCACGACCATCGCCTCCGGCACACGCCGGTACTGGTCCATTCATTCGCTAGACAGACAACATGTGCTCCGAGCCGGCAGTACGAGAAGTGCGAGTAATATGTAGTTTTCTCTAATTGTTTAGATACAAATAAGGGCACCTTTAACGGTGTAAACTTGGATCGTTTTAACTTTTCATTTCCAGATTAAGCTCGTAGAAAACTACACTGAAAACAAAAGTTTGCAACCTCAACCGCTGTCATGCTCATGGCACATGGCAATGCCATGGTGCACAAGTACACTTTTAGGAGTTGAACTAGATAGTAATAGAAACTTCAATACTTAAAAGTGTTCAGCAGTAAATTTACACTGTAATTCCATAGAACTATGGCCAACAACTTTCAACTTTTCTCTATTCAAATATCCAGTCAAACACTTAAAACTGTGCAACGTATACTTGCATCTGCAAGCCCACGGCACACTTCATTTTATCAGTGATATGTATTTTGTTTTAATCCCAGCCAACAATAGAAGTCATTTTGCACGATTTGGGTTTTTTTTTATCAGTAAGCTATTGACTACCAAGAAGTTTGGCACATCAAGTAGAAATGAGAAACAGCACTACTGTGTAATGCGGGCTTACTTCTTTTAAGACTCTGGCGCCGGCGCCATCACTAGACTACCGGCTCCCGATCCTTGAACACACGACTGCCCCCTCCCGCCTCTCTACAAAATTCATTAACGCCGCAATCGTGGGGGGATGAGGAGAGGGGGTAAAAAAAGGGAATGGGGGCCGCGCTGAAAAATGTTTTGTATTTTAATGGGCGCGCGTGTTGTGGGCCGCGGCGGACCGCCTTTTAGAGTCGGCCTCATCGCTCCCTAAGCACTGAGGGATGGCCCTCTTAGCGCGGCGCACAGCCGGTTGTTTCGCTCAAAATTGCAGCACTTTGCCGGCGCAATTAAGAAATCAGGTCACTTCTTGGCGTCTGAAAGAATAGGGCATAGGGCATCTATGTGGCTAGCATACTAGCATAGGCCCGACCAGGGAGTCCCGACACGGGGATTGTGAGGTTCTTATCATCCAACCATGTGGTAATCCAAATTCTATTACGACCCCTAGGATATGCAAACCCGCCACACTGCAGTGCCGTCGCCCTGACACACTGTATGTATTGGTGGGAGGGAACACCCTGCAACCTTGTCAGAAATATATATTATAAATTTTTTTTCACATTTCTTTCTTAGAAACGTTTCGAGAAATTAGCAGAAGTTTTCTGCAATGTTTGTTTTTTTCCCCCACATTGTTGGCTCAGTGACACGGCGGACACGGCCGTCACGATCAGTACACACTTGAACACCTTTTTGAGCCCCGATGGCAGGGCACCCATTAACGGGCGCAGTATCGGGTATCGGGTGGCCCTCGTGCCAAAAGGCGTGCGGCCGCTGCACCACGGGAGCCGGCGGGAACGGAAGGTGGTCGGCGCCGCCTCTCGTCAGCCGCGGCCCACCGGCGCAAGCGGGCGCAAGCGGGCGCAAGCGGGCGCGAGGTCCATGGGCTGGAAGACACCGATAGCGAGCCGCGGGGGTAGCTGACGGAGTTTATTGTTAATAACGTTAGACACGCAGGCGGCAAAGTGTATTTAAGTTACTTAAGTTAATTCGAAGACAACAGTGTAGTTTTCGTTTTACCGGTAGAGAACTTTTTTTTTTGCAGTCACACCTTTATCGAGAGGAGAAAAGTTTAGTTCTGAGAACGCAGCGTTTTTTGTTTCTTTTCAACTCACCGATGGAATTGGCGGACCTCGGGTGGACCCTTCGTTGACCTTGGTGCCTTCCGCGACACACCTGCAAACATGGCGAGGGCGATTTTAGTGTTACATAATGCTACCCTCCTTCTCGGAAAGCCACTTTTGTTCCCAATCAGACAAACTGCAGAACCATCTAGTCGAAATATTGGTCGTTGCAAAAATATTAAGTGTTATATTAAAACATGAATTTTATTGCTTGTCAAATTAAAGTTACTAAATGTTAAAAAGGAAAATAATTGTCAAAAACTGCTCCAGACTTTTTCCATAAACGGTCTTGTGCAAAAGTCATCGCATTAGTACAATTTCGATTTCAAATATATGTCGCTCCATTGTCTGGGAGAGGATCGGAGCTACGAAAACGGAAAGAGGTGGGGGAAGGGAGAGGGGGTAGGGGGAGGCGACGTTGTCGCGGAGGGGGTTCGAAGGGGTTGGAGGGTTGGCATTCCATC